ATGCGTTGGAGAGCGCGTTGAAGAACGCGCGTGAGCGGCAGAAGGCACAGAAAAAGGCGGTGGACGCGGAACGCAATTCAAGAGCAGAGGCAAGCGCGGCGGAAGGAAGAGGTCGAGGAGGAAGAAGCGGCAGCTGCCGAAGGTGGCGAAGACGAGGAAGGCTTCCTTCGCGCTCCCACAGTTTACGTCGTGTACCATCCCGTCCAGCTCTTCTACGATGCAACCTCCAACAAAGCTGTTGCGCTCGCCACATGCGCGGTTTGTGCTCGCAGGAGGCTTCAAGCTGAGGCTCGGGTCACGTCCAAGCCGTTGTCTGAGGTGCCTAACCGCCACCGACTCCGACCCAGAGCACACGCTATATAGGCCGTCTACTTCGCGGTAACCGGAGAGGGAGAGGAAACCGTGGTCGACATCTGCGCGGAGTGCGCGACGTCGCTGTCTTGGCGCTTTTCGCTCGCGAATGGTCTCTGGGTCGGCGACGTGCCATTCGAGCTTCGCGCTCTCACTATCTCCGAACAAACTCTGATCTCCCCTGTAAACGCCCGCATGTACATCGTGAAGTTGCACTGAAAGGGGAAATCGGACAAGAACCCCGCCTCTCGACAGCGTGCTATGCGCGGGACGGTGTCCTCTATTGCAATCAACACCGAACGTGTAGCCGACATGATAGACGGAAAGCTCCTTCCTTAGCCGCCTTCCATCCTGACGTCTCTCATATCTATTGCGCACATCGGAGGAGGAAAGCTGCCAAAGCATTGGTTCGTCGGGTCTTTCACAGCCCGCCGCCCGCGCGTCGTCGCCGCTCCCAAATAGCCCATCGGTCTCAAGAAGCATTTCTCACAAATTCGCCTCGGAGAGCGTGTGCTGGCAATGCTGTCTGAAGACGACGTTCCGGACGACTTATTAGCTACGGTGCGGCAGGAGCACGACACGCGTGCGGCGAACGCGGAAGGAGCGAACCCAATGGCGCCGAAGACATTTTCTTTGATGCTGGTTCGTTTCGATGTATTGTGCCACGCGTTTACGAATACTGATAAATTAGTCTAGACGATGAAGGCGATGGTTCTGGCGACATTATTCCCCTGCAGTTCACCGGAGTGCACCATCATGACGGACACGAGCTTTCGGCGGAAGACAAGTTGCTTGCCAGCCTCGACGTAGCCGCGGAGGAAGCAGTAGAACGGCCATATCAAGAACGACACGGGCAGCTGGTTCTAGACCTTCCGTCTGTCCGCGCTAACACATCCTTGGCCGACATAAGTCTCTGGGAGCAAGCTTACGCGTCCTTTTCCCGTTTGCAGCCGGGTGACCGGAAAAACGCAGACCGGTCACTCTCACCCTACGCGAGCACATACGGTGGTTGATGGAATATGACGACAACCTTTCCGTCGTCGCGAGTCGTTCCAGGTCTTCCCTTTCGGGATCCCTCAGAAACGGGAGGCCCTCGCCTCGGCCAGACTCCAGATGGGTCGTCGCGACTTGGAATCGGCAGCACGTCTTATGTCGACCGTCACAGAGAACGATAGCTCTGTGGCGGCTCGTGAGGAGGATAGCAAGACAGCGGTCACCAACCCAGCTGTTCAGTTGTTGAAGAGGCACGTGCAGACTTCCTGCGGCCAACGTCATGGGCTCCGACGCAGCTTGGCAGTCGTGCAGGAGTGAGATCTTGTCGACGACGATTGCGCTTGGTCCACCTGCGCTCTGGATCATGATCAACCCAGATGATCTTCACGATCTGCTCGCGCAGGTGTTCGCTGGGGTAGAGATCGACTTGGATGCGTTTTGCGCCTTATGCGGGCCCACACCGAAAGAGAGGGATCAGAACGTCACAGGCGATCCGTACGCCGCAGCCATGTTCTTTCATTTCTTGGTGCAGACATGCTTCACGGCGCTCTTTGGTACCGAGGTCTTGTCAGGAGGGAGGATCAAGTCGGAGGAGGGGTTCTTCGGATACGTCTCCGGATACTATGCGACGGTCGAGGCACACAAACCCAGCGAGGATAACTTCAAGGAGGTGTGCGATACGACACTGCGCAATGTCGGGCGCACAAAGCAGCTGTACAAATCCATCATAGCGCACTGCCTCTGCATAGACTAGCACGGCCGCGCGGTCTGCAAACGGCGAGCGCCATGGCCCCTGTCGGACGACGCTATCAAAGATGCCGCAGGGTATCGGTCTCCGCGCCGGCAGTATGGCATGTTCGACAGTTGGACGGCGGAAATGGCGCACCCATCTCCGTTTCAAGCAGAGCAACGCCGGGAGGATGAGGATGAGCGACGGAGAGATATTGGGCCGTCGGTCTGGATGGGTAAGCATATACCACCTATTGGTCGAGATCCAACTGACAGAACGAAGCAGAAGATATGCACGCGGTTTCAGACGTTCAAGTCATCGAGTTGACGGGATTCGAGGACGCGTTAGGTGCCCTGAGCACCAGCGAATTGCTACCAGCGCAACGTCGAGTGTACGAGATCATTGCCATGCATCTCGCCGATACGCTGGCTGGTCAAGAACCTCCGCAGCTACTGCTGCAAATAGAGGGCGAAGGAGGGACGGGCAAATCACGCGTCAACCAGACTGTCACTCAGGTGTTTGCGCGTCTAGGTAGACTCGCGAAGGAGTCGTTTACGGGCGTGGCGGCATCGCCTGTCGACGGCAAGACAGGCTTCATTCGCAAGTTTCCCGCGGTGGCAGACCGTGCCTAGTGCCATTCCATTCCAGGACCTTGCGAGAAGCATCACAGCGTCATGGTACTATTGCCGAGTAGTCCGCGAGCGCCTTTGCACGTTTCGTGGCTCATGGGATCATGTACTTCAGCCTTAAGCCCACTGACTCCTATCATATACTGGGTCGGAACTTCTTGCAGTGCTTTACTACGTACTTGTGAAGGATTGTACTGTGCTAGACGTATCTCAATGAAGGCTTACGCGACACAACGATCGAACGGGTGGACCATCATCGGTGGTCTTGCCAACCGGCGATGAGCATGACGCTCGTATGATCACGTAACTTCCCACCGGCAACGCCGTGACCCGTCTTTATCAGTACTATGAGGATCGGCACGCTCTTCGTCCACTGATAGCTGCACGAACGCCATGAAGTAACCAGGCCTTGTTAGACAACTTTCCACGCTCGAAGCAATGGAAGTGAGCACGTACCTCTTGCCGCAGGTGATTAGGCGATAACGTTCGCGATCTGCCGGGTGCTTTCATCGATATCCCGCGTGGGACTACCCTTGCATAATGGCCAATCGCCAAAGAAGGTTTTCTGTGATGTTTCTTTGTTCTCTCGGCAGTCTACGAGCTGTCCATCCCAGAGCGATTTCTCTTTGTTCCTTTGACCATCGCTGTTTAAATGTGCGCGGTGCTCCACTGCTGCTGTGATCCCCCGTCCCCTGTTGTGTCGCCCCTTTCTTGCTGCGTTACTCCTGGTCATGAAAGTAGTCCATCTCCGAGCGCGTAATCGCGTACGCTCGCCCTACGAGCGGAACCCTTACCGCCTCATTTCCCGAATGGAGATAGATGTGTGCAGTGAGCTTTCGCCATGTATAAGTTCCTGTGGTGACTTTGCATAGGCCATCCCTCCTTGGAGGGTGAAGTTCTCGGACTGCGATGAAGGCGGCGGGGGACTCCAGTGCAAAGTAGAACGCCAATCCGTTGATACAAAGGTGCGTCTGAAGCACAACGCGTGGGACTCTTTTGCTGAGGTTTGATACATAGCTTTGGGACCTCAGACGAGGTTTTATCTACGCACGCAACGACGCTCTCCGTTCTGCGCAATTCACGCGCCCTGCGAAAGACGAAACCAGGGTCCTCACTACGAATCGCGCAACGCCTGAGATCGATCGTGGGTCCCAGACCCCGCGCGCTGTGACAGAAGCCTGTGATGAAGTCGGCGCGCCGCTGACCGACAAGCCATCAGACGGCGACAAGGACACTGGTACTGTCGAGGCGGCGACAACGTTTGACTTCGATCGCGACCCCCAAACCGCGCCTACCGTGGTGAACGCTACTGAAGTAGGTAGCCCGCTTTGCACCATGTCCTCAGATGATAGCGTGGACACTCGTAATGTCGAGGCGACGACGTCTGAGAGCGACTCCCAGACCGTGCCCGCCGTGGAAGGAGCTATTCATGATGGCGCGCCGCTGAGCGCCGGGTCTTCAGACAGCGACAGGGACACTCGTACAGTCCTGGTGACGACCACTGAAGTTGGTTATCCATCTGTCCTCCCACATGCTGGTGACGCGTCTTCGCTTGCCAAGGTCTCCCAGATTGCATCACCAGAATGTGTCTACGATGGCATATCAAGGTCCCCTATCGCGCGGGTCTCCGTACAAGATGCCGCAACTTTCCCAGGCGAAGAACAGCTTAAGTCCCGAGGGGGTGCCTCGCAGACTTGCAACGAGGACTATCGAGTCTCCGCACAGCGCAATGTGTATTCTCCTATCGGACACTCTCAAGCCCATGCTCCGTGCGCCACGCCTTGGCTTCAGATGGAGGATTGTACTGACGGCGGAAACGTGCAGGAGCGCTATATCCACATCCATGCCCGCTGAGTGCAGCGGCATCATGCTTCCTGCTCCAGGTAGCAACCCAAGTCCCACCGTGGCGCATACGGCCATATCTACCACTCGCGCATCTGAAGACACACGGTGTGTCTGTATGCCATTATTCACATTGTGCAAGATCTCAAAGTGTCGGTGACGCGCGCAGTCGTCAATCACTGGATGGGGTCGGAGGCTCCGCCCCTCACGAAGGCGAGCGTTTGGCTAGTACACCGAGTTGGACTCGCAATCGAAGGCCAGTTCCAGTGCAGTGTGACGTGTCTGTGAGATGCTGATGAGACGCAGTGCAAGTCCGCGCGGCGTAGATATGTCGGAGTCTAGGGACGTTCGCCCGAATACTCAACGGATCGCACAGGATCAGGGCGCAACGATCTCCTCTAGACACAAACTTCGGAAGTATGGGGTCGAGATGAATTGCTTCAGGTCGATTGGTGCATCTACTCTTTCAACGCCGCACGTAACCGGTCGCACAATGCCCGGAGACGTGTACCTTCATCTAGGAGCTGGGACGGCCCAGCTCTGGTATAAGGACTTGCATGGAGTGTGGGCTGCAGCGCAAACGGGTATGGATCATCCGGAATACTCCGACTACTGCCTAAACATCTCGTCGGACTTATGGGGCCGCTGGGTCCTGAAAAAGACTGTCAGCACATACAAAGGAAGAGAGAAGGTATGTCTCAGACGATGCGATCTTTCGAAGAACGAGAGTCTTACGACAGAGCTTAGGCACGCTATGGCAGCGCGACCAGCCTGCATTAGCGCGCTTGTTGAACTGGCATGGACTAAACGATTGAGTCATAACATTTCACTATGAGACATGGTGTATCTTCAGAGTGTCGTGCAATGAATCCGCTTCTCCTCGCACAAATCGAAAACTGATGACGGGCGCTCATGAAACACCGAGCGTAGTCTCATGGCGCATTCAGCGAGATTGCTGATCTCACGTAGATTCTTCCATGGTACTCGTTCCTCCCAGTAAGTACAGGGACGTGCATGGGGCGCGGAATAAACGAGATCAGTGCTCGGTGATGTCCTAAGAAAGAAGACTTCGCGCGCGCGACGCTCAGTGAACCAATTCGATTGATCTCCTTGTACATGGTCATGATCTTTAGAATTCCGGGTAGCACAGGGGCGACACCGCCGTTGACGCCCAGAAGCCTTTCTGCTTCTCTTCGGTCGCCAGCCGTATAGCCCCAGAATTTGTCATGGTCCCTTCTTCCACAGGCCTCCGGAGTCGCTCTCGGTCGACTGGCGTTCGCCGTGTCCTGACTAAGCTGATCGCAGTGCTGGCCGAACGGATGCCGGGTCGGCCTCTCGCCTCGCAAATGCAGCAGGTCGAGCCTTTCAAAGACCAGCCACGCGCCCCGGCCATCATTCGAATCAGCTTAGTCAAAACTCAAGTGCCAGTCGACCGAGAGTGACTTGGAAAAAGTGCTCGAGGGCGGTGGGAAGGAGTCTGCCGAGAGGGAGTATGAAGTGAGAGATATCGGCGTTCGCCGAAGCGCGCGGCCCAGGCCTCATGCTCACAGTCGCCCCATGTGGTTTGATGGCTAGCATAGAACTGCTTCGCGCAGGCGACACTCGCACCTTGCCCCGCGCTGCGCTACACAAACGTGCACAGTTCATCGAGTACACATGAAAATGGCTACGTATCTACGGCATATTGCACAAACGAGCGACTAGTCATGATATGCAGCTGTAGGTGGCATTAACTAGTCTGCCGCACAGAAGCGTGCCCGTCCATTGGTGCGGTATGTAGGGCAGTGGCCTGAGCTTGATCTTCCCGATCGGGCGCTGTCTGAGAAGAATGAGAAAGCCCTCGACCGACCGAGCGTGGCGGATTTCCCATCTATAGCGAATACGCCGACAATCAAAAGCGAAGATCCATATCATCTGGGGACCTGACATAGACTCTGTCGAATTGTATAGGGCCAGGTTCAGAGAGAGGTACTGGATGGTCGACGAGAGCAAGATGCTTGTAGAAGGCAACCGCCGGCGCAAGACACTTAAACACCTTTGCCTCGTCGGTAATCGGGACCGGTAATCGGGACTCCGTCCAAGTTCGAGTCCTATACATGCATGTACCAGCTGCAGCACCCTTTACGCATCCAGGCTCGGTGCCGAGATTACAATCGGCTCATTCATTGGCGCCCCACTCTGTTCAGGCGCGTCTCGGCAATGGCCTTGATCCGAGTGGCCCGCGTTCGCCGGACCGCGCCGCTTCGCCATGGACAAAGACGACCACCATCTCTTTGTACAGAAATCACGCATCCCACCATATGCTTTGCTATAAACATGGTTCTGCCCACATCGTATACTCCTCTTGGAAGGGTCTTCTGCGATGTCCCACGAGGAAGGCCTACGCAGACAGTAAGGTGCAACTCGTCTTCTGGATGTTGACTGCTGTCACCCCACTCACGCTGCACTCAGAGTGCGACTTAGCACATATTCGTTGCTTCTAACCGGACTTACTATAGTGCGCACGGTCCACCACGATTGAGGCCGCGGTTGTCGACGTACGATTACGTTAGGCACGACGATGCTACAGCCACACCTTCCGATGTGCGTCTTTCGGCATGGCCTCACTGATGAACATGCTAACGACACTCTAGGCCCTCGAAGATGCCACTATGCACCCAGTTTATATCCATGTGGAAAACGTAAGCCGTACCGCTGTCGAGTCGTCTAGCCGTACCCACCTCGCATTTTAAGTCTCGCGCGTCAGCTCCTGGATTGGCCTCTCAGAGATCGGCAACGGTAGCAAGGGTACGTGGCACTGATCTGTGACGTGCGAGTAGGATGGTGAACGACCATCAACAGGCCATGGGAAAGACTTTCGGTCGCGGCAAAGCAAAGAGCCAACAGATACCGTTGAAAGTGCGTTCTCTACCATGATCCCACAGCACTCTTCCATGACGAGCACAGACTCTAGGACATTCTCAGACGCACTGAAAGCTACGACGATCTCATGAAACAAGTTCGCAGACCTGCATCTCTGGACTACGCCAAAGCATCACGCGATCCCCTCATGCGTAACTACGAACCACTTCGTCTCCCCGGTTAGTGTCTCCCACAACCTTCATGGCACATCAAGACTCACTCGGCGTATCACTCCACTTATTCTTAGACAAAATCGTGTCCCTGCCTGCGCCTGGGCCTTTACGGTCCCATTCGTATGTGTTGTTTATGTCGTTCAATCACACCCATCACACGTCATAGTAGCAAAATCCTCGCTCCGACTGCATCCTCCAGTTCAAATGCAGGTAGCGAGAGGAACAAAGGACAGAAGCTCCTCCGTGACGCTATGTTGGGAAAGATGTCCGAAGCAATCAGTTGGCAGTGCGTGTTGGCTTTGACTGGTTTGCGCGTTCTGATACTCACGGCGTACGCAGAAATATGGTTTACCTTGATCTGCTGGCAAGCCCCGATACTGTCGACATCACCCTGAAGGAGGCCCAGAGAAGACAGCGTGCCATCAAGTCTGAAAACGGCGAGCAACTGAAGGCGCGTGTTCAGTACATTGTAGCCGATATGAGTCTAACTCTTCCTGCAGCTCTACAGACTGCGGGCTAAAGAGGCGCGCCAGCGTAAGAAGGACGCAGAGGGTGGAAAACCAGGGATAGGCGTGCTTTGAACCCTTGCTAGCAATTTAGTTGCGCGTCGTCTCATGTCCCGCTATGATGTACGAGTGCGTACGGTGAACAGCAGCAAAGTCGTGGAATTACACGCTTCTCATGCACAATGTCGCCCCACTCGTAGCTCGTGTCTCAGGGCGAGCAGCCGCCCGCTTGGTCATGAACGCCTGGTCGGAGGACTGAAGGCAACCACCTCCTTCACATCTTATTCACCATCCCCACTCCGAATGCACTACCTATACCGAGCTTCGTAGCACGACGCTGCATGCTACTACAAAACGCAAAATCGCCTGCTGTAAGTAGCTGTAGCGGAACGCCCGTTGCGTCTTCCTCTCGGCACGGCTTTCCAAAAGGCACGTTGGAACTTGCGGGAGGTCACTTAACGGCATGACGAGTTCTCAATAACGCTCAGACATCATGACTGTATTCGGTACTGCCCGGCGCAAGAAATCGGTTCTCCTTTTCTAGACTCAAGGTCATCTGATGCTTCGCTGTTGCACTGGCAGGGACGGATATGCTGCGATGACCGAAGGGCATTCGCTCCGCCTCTCAAGCACGAAGGAGCAGACACGTAGGATGACGTTTAGTCTTCAAGCAACATCGTTCACGCGGTCAGATCCTCATAACAACCGTTGCTGCCTGCATAGCTACAATGGTCACGTTTGGTGCCTACGAACAGGCGACGGCGATTGCGAATCGTCTTAGGGTGCGTGGACTACTAACATTCCTAGCGCTACGCGCAACCTGCGACACCAATATTGCTAGTAGGGTGCAAGGTGCGAGACCCGGTGATTAAGGGTCTGTGACGAGACCAACCTTTTTCAGGGGTTCAATCCACAAAGCGTCAAGTTGGTCTCCATCTCCAGCAAAGTCCACCACCCACTCACAAACAGGCTAAACTTTGGGGGCAATGATCATGACGATCTCTATGGAAGTGGGAGATCCAGCACCACACCGGTAATTGCGGACGTTACCCCAAATCTTTGAGCAATTCCACAACGGTGCGTCGACTGAGATAGCTAGCAGGTCAGCTAGTTTTGTCACTCTCACTGCACGCCTACCTCGTCCACATTTCAGAGGCCAGAATGGTGTCGTGGACACAACAGGGTGAAACCCACATCCCCTGGCGAGAGTGTCATTACGGAGGTGCACGGTCTCATGCGAAGACGTCTGGAAAGCTCGTCCTACTGGGTCACGGCAGAACGACCGGGACTCTCTCATGATAGCCGCATATTACGTCATATGCCGACCAACGATCGCGCTCTTTCTGCTGCTGGCGGCTCCTATACGATTCTCAAGCTGTGTCTTACGGTGAGCCCGGCGGAATCGGAGTCATGCTACACGAGGCGAGGGCAGATGCCGTCCGCATCAGAGCCCATCCTGATGAAATACAAAGGAGACCATCCTTGCTTTGTCTTATTTTCCAACTCGTGTAGCGCACATGTTCGTCAAAGACAACTCGTGGCCTAATACTCTCTTTCTCTGTTCTTTGTTCAGCGCCATGCCCCACGTACTAGGAGAGAGCAGCGCATACGCATAAGGAAGGTACTCAAGATCGGTGAGCTATAGCCGAACAACGCAGATTTCCGTTGGTAAAACGTCCGCGTCCGGCAACAAGGTTATATGCTCAAGATCACGGTCATCAGTCTCTCCACTCTATTCTGTTTACCTTGCGCCGCGAGAAATCGTACTTCCACTGCATAATGGGCCTCAGTCGCACGCCCCCTGCTCGCCTTCGGTGTTCCACCCACCCCAACCCCTTATTATCGCGAGGTCAGCTCTTCTCCAAGTTATTCATGCCCCGGTCCTCATACTCTCCAGATCGTACCTTGATCACAATATCCGATCCTAAACCTCTTCGTACCGGCGAGCCACTCAGTAGCGGGGCAGCAGTTTCGACGAATGCCCCTGTTATCCATGATGACAGAACTCCCCCTGGGTCATCGAGCGGTCTCAACATGACTGTCCTAGACGTCGCCTCTGCTCTGCTTTCACTATCAGACTCATCGTCTTTACCTTCCACTCCGTCGTCACCATCCGATGCGCTATCGCCGAGCTCTAGTCTCCGTTCGCAGTGTGTGGACGAACCATCTTGGAACCTCAAACGCACTTCTTCTGGCAAAGATCGCCGTTTCGTGCCCATGAACGTCGACGACTTTATTGCCTACTGTCCTGCGGCCTTAAAGTATTTCAACGTTGAACCGGCATATCTTGGCTCTGCCCCGCAGCGATCTCACGCTGCTAACCGCGATCCATCTCATATCCCGCGCCCACCAAACGCCTTTATGCTTTATCGGTCGTGGTTCTGCGCGACCACCCACTGCTCAGGACTACAACAAAACACTCTTCTCCGCACTATCGGTGATTGCTGGAGACGTCTCACAGACAAGGAACGCGAACCGTTCATCTCTGCGGCTGCAATCGCGAGACGTCGTCATTCTGTCCTTTACCCCGGTTACCGGTACCGCCCGTGCACTAAGCCAAGCGCCGCACGCCTTGGACCCAAGTCAGATGGAACGTATGTCTAGCCACACGAACACCGCGCCGAAACCGTGGTATGTGATTATTACTGCCGCGCATTCCGAGATCCCCAGTCATCCTGATACCGATACAGAGGGTTTATTCCTGCATTTACCCGTGAATATGCTTCCGGATGACTTCGCCGCTAAGGCGTGCGGGGATCACATTTCCCCCCAGTATATGATTCTCCTGTACTGTATTAGCCCACGACCCTTTCTCTCCCAGTGTATCTGCCTGACTTCCGTTCGACCGTATGTAACTGTAGTAAATCATGTGATCGCGTTCAAGTTCTGATCGGAAGTACGCCACGACACATGACGTGCGCGAGGTGTCAAGCCTCTCTGGCCTCACCTCGACGGCGACCTCAACCGCGCAGGCAAGCGCCTCTGCAATGCAAAGGTGATTGTGGGGATCATAAAAGCTTATCTCTTCTAACTGACGCAGCTGCTTCACTATTCGGTTCTTGTACTCTCAACGTCTCGGTACCGATCAGGGAATACTATGGCCAAGGCCAAGTCGTCGCTTGCCCCTTCCCGCCCACTCGATCAGCAATGCCCACAATCGCCTGGCAATGAGGACGCTGGCTCTCATCTAGTGGCAGACGATCCTGCGTGCAACACGTACGGGGTCCCCGAGCACGCCCAGCCCACGCAATCGTCAGTCATTTATGGTCAAATGCGTCCATACCAGTTGTAGGGTCTGATCTGGTCTCACTCCACCACAACGGTCTAAACGGAATCCTCACCGACGAGATGGGTCTCGGCAAGACCCTCCAGACAATCTCCTTCTTCGCTTATCTCAAGCATGTCCAAGATGTCCACGGTCCTCGTCCCGTCGTCGTCCCCAAGTCTACCTTGCAGAACTAGGCACGTGAGTTCGAAAAGTGGGCCCCTAGCTTCAACGTGCTCTCGCTCTCGGGTCCACAGGACGAGCGCGGTAAGCTCATCGCAACCGTCTATTGCCGCAGGACTTCGACGTGTGCATCACGACATGCTATGCCTAATCGAGAAGGGTGCGCTCAAGGAGCTAAGCTTCGAGTACATCGTCATCGACGAGGCCCACCGTATCAAAAGGATGAGGGAGAGGGGGATGCGCACGACGAGAAGAGCAAGAAGGTCGTCGAGGCGCTGCATAAGATCTTGCGGCTATTCTTGTTGCAGTCGTGTCAAGGCCGACGTCGAGAAGAGCTTGTTGCCGAGTAAGTGCTCTCCTTGCTCTCCTCCCGCAAGCAAAAACTAACATTCCTTACAGCGAAGAATATCAATATCATCATCCCGCTCGCCGAGATGCAGCGCAAGTGGTATCGCTCCGTGCTCGAGTAGGACATCGACGCCGTCAACGGTCTCACCGGCAAGAAAGAGGGCCAGACGCGCCTTATCAACATGGTCATGCAACTCCGCAAAGTCACCTGCCACCCCTACCTCTTCGATGGCACCGAGCCCGGTCCGCCGTACACCACCGACGAGTACCTGGTCGAGAACGCCGGCAAGATGGTTGTCCTCGACAAGCTCCTGCGCAGGATGAAGGAGAGGGGCTCGCGCGTGCTCATCTTCAGCCAGATGAGCCGTATGCTCGATATTCTAGAGGACTGTTGCTTGTTCCGCGAGTACAAGTACTCCGGATCGACGGTGGTACCACGCATGAGGACCAGATTGCCGCGATTGACGAGTACAACTAGCCGGATAGCGAGAAGTTCATCTTCCTGCTCACGACGCGTGCTGGTGGTCTGGGTGTCAACCCTACAACGGCCGACATTGTCGTACTGTACGACAGCGACTGGTGGGTTCTTTGTCTGCATCGCGTGTGCCGTATTGTGCTCTGATTGTACTTCAGGAATCCTCAGGAGGATGTGCAGGTCATGGACCACGCTCACCGTATCGGTTAGACGAAGCAGGTCTATGTCTACCGCTTCGTCGCCGAGGACAGTGTTGGAGCGTGCCGCGCAGAAGTTACGTCTCGACCAGCCGGTCATCCAGCAAGGTCGCCAGACGGCTCAAAAGCGTACGCATATACCATCACGCATATCATGTTCACTGATGCTGATGCGGATTTGCAGAGGCGAACGAGGAGGAGCTGAACTCGCCCGACTAGGGTTCTCGCTTTGACGGCCTCGCCAACTTCAAGTCCGAATCTACCGTGCAACAATGGGAAGGCCAGGACTTCCGTACCGGCCGTAACTGGCTGGTCCTGAACCTGCTCGAACCCTCCAATCGTGCGCGCAAGACGAACTACAGCGTCGACGCGTACTACATGGGCCGGACCGGCGCAGAAGGAGAAGGTGGTGAAGATACCCCGTGCCTTCCAGATCTCTACCCATATGCTCTTCCGTGTCATAAGGTCACCACGTTTGTCAGCCTGTCATGGTTTACTGCCAACCGATAACGTCGGCCTCGGCGCTGGTAAGGCATGTAAGGCCAGTGCGACGAGTTTAAGGTCTTATCATATCATCCCTCCGATCCTTCTCCCTCCACCGTCCGCACAATATGCACCAGAAGCTCGAAGAATTATGTCACTGCGGTGCTGTGAAGTTCACACTTGAGTCTGGCTCGGCGGTGCCGTATCAGCTCTGCTTCTGCGGGTAGGCTATCGGGCAGCCTATTGAGGCTTCGCGTTTCGCTCACGGATGATTGTCGGAATATAGCACCTGTAGAAAAGTTGCGGCTGGTGCGGGTGGCACCATCAACCTCGGCGGTATCGCGAAGGAGAAGAGCATATCAGGCACGTCTATCCTTCGCATGCGCGGTTCGATGCGTTTGACTGAATCTCTGATGGTTCGCGTCGTGTAGCAAATACCACGCGATTTTGGACCGCGGGACAAAGGATGAGATCGATGAGAGGCGGGCCAGTTCAGAGCGGAGCTTCTGTTCCAAGTGTTCTACCATGCTATGGCTTTGGGACGCGCAGTGGTGGGTCCTGGGGCCCACGCAACAGTTTGAGTGGTGCGGCTGAACTGATGTCATTCAGACCCGAGCTTGGCATCCATTCGCGTCTGCTATTGATTCACCCCTGAAGCCGCCAAAGGAGATGGTACGCGTACTCTCGACGTGTCCAAGCCAAGGAGATGACTATATCATACAGGCATGCATCCTCATGGACTCGAAGGCTGAGTGGGCTTGCTTGCCTGAAGGTCCAAAGAAGATCTACGACCACTACGGGTCGGGTTCGCTCGAGGATTGGCACAAGCACAGCGGCGAATGTGTAGAGTAGATTCGGCGCGCAAAATTGGGACAAAAGTGCAGGTTTTTTACAATGCGGGTGGGAATAAGTAGAAACCAGGAACGTCCAATCCTTCAGCATGAAGGTTATAATTTAAGTCGACGGCGTTTGTTCCGAGCCAGAGCCAGAGCCAGAGCCAGAGCCCGAGGTCCCCGCTCGTTCTACCGCCAACCTGTGGAGACTGCTTGAGTACAAGATACTATCAACGGACCACAAACATGCATACTAAGCGTACCTATTGTGCGCTGCGACATGCCTCTTCCCAGCATCCGATCGCGTAAATTTCTTCCCGCATGTGGAGCACTGAAAGCGTGTATACTCGGGGAAGTCCATCTGGTCCGCCTTCGATGAACATCCCGCCCATGTGCAATGTACGCGCAACTTGCTCACACCGCGCGCCTCCCACTTTTGGCCGTGAACGTCGGCATTGTGATCGCGGATGTGTGGGGTCGCCCGTGGTCGACCTCCATATTGCACACGGTCCCATCCTCGTCCTGAAACATACACTTGTACTTTCCAGTTGGCAAGTTGATGTTGATAAGCTCCGCATCCTTAACAGGCGCTACTGTAGTAATCCGCCTTGCCGCCGTCCGTGCGTAGATCTCCGAGGCCGCGTAGCGTTGTCCAGGGGAGTAGCTCAGTCCACTTGTAGCTGTGATCACAGGAATGCGATAATGGGGGACGGAAGGGATAGCGCCAGTGGGCTGCCTAGTCGTCGAGTAGAGCTTTTGAACGTCCAATGCACTCGTTTGAGCAGACATACCGGATCGAGAAGTAGTGTATGATTGAGAAGCCAAGCTACAACTGGTGTGACCATATACAGGTAGCGAGGTCAAAGGATATGCTGACATTCGATAATTCGAGCTCATGTTCGGCGTCGTCGAGTATGGATGCGCAAAAGATTGCGGAAGAGCGGCATTGCTCGGTGAGGGAGATGTTGAAAATATAGCTTCGCTACTGGCTACTGGTGGAGAAGTCGCCGGTTCGGAGTTCATGTCGACATCAGACTCAGATGTGAAGTCGACAGGTTCTGGAACAGAGGCCTTATTTCTAGCACGAAACNTACTGATGGACCACACTCACCTCGGGCCACTCCCGGACCCTGCCGAACCTCCTTCCGACCATACTCCCCCATACGACATCGCTGGCGCATCATAGATCATCATGATTGCCGCAGCATAGGGAAGATGCCACAAAGCGTAAAAGCATAGGACCTGTCAAAGCTGGCCGTTGATGGCGTGAGGCGTGGAAAAGTAGGGCTGTAGGTCCATACTTGGTCAGCGATGATCCATATTAGGAGTGACAGAATCTTTCCGGGAACGTACCAGCTGCTTGTAGCGACTGTCCGGACTACGATACCCGCCAGCTCAGAGGCCGAGAGCGACACGGCTGAGTCTGAGGACTTGTTGTTAGCGGCGTGTGGTCGGTCGTGGTCTGTGGTCAAACTTCCACCGTGGCCGCGGGAAGAGCTGCCACATTCCAGCACGGCAGGCCGGCAAGCGCCGCGCTCTGTTGATTGCCATCCACACTCACTCCTCTGACATCTAGACTCTGTAGTTGCACTAGTGCATCCATTGACGCAGATATCCTTCGGAGAACAGGAGCGTACGCTCTGTAGCTCTTTATCTGTAACCACCATGATGTCGGGAAAAGGATCATTTCATCAAAGGTTGACAAGCCTCATAGAGAGCATCTGCGTAGCTGGTTGGATTTCGGCATAGACGTAAAGAATCATGGGAGGTGTTCGATCGCGCACAGGCTACCACAGCCAAAGGTGTCGTACTCGGGCAGAGTGGATCGTCATCGTAAATCATCCTGAGTATGGATGGCGCAGAGTTGAGGTGGCCGTGTCTCGCATGAGCCAACGAAAGCAGCATGAAGGTGATGATTGGGTGGCCGCAATGCTGTACGAATACCGGATACGTTCTCGAAACGCGAGTATTGAAGTAGATTGAGGCGGGGCTCATTTCTACACCCTCCTTCCTCGGCACCCGACATTCACACTACCGCCCGACATCGCCCGGGGTCTTCTAGCGGTCCGAGCAACAGCTCCAGAGAACATGCTCTCGAACGGAGACGGAGATTAATAGAGTTAGAGTGGGTTCATTCACGGGCAGAGAGTGGCGTCTGTGGTCACAATTGGATGCAAGCGGGTGATCGTCAGCCCTGCATCTGTGTAGATAGTACTTTGTCGCATACCTTGTCCGAAGTACACGTCGTGTGCGAGATTGATGCCTGTAGAAGCTATAGAAGGGGCCGATTAGCAAGGCAACGGGGCCACATCGATAGGGATAACGTACAGATGGCCGCGCTACATCTTGGATCCTCCTGACCGGTGCATTGACGCACGTTCTTACGGCTAGCTTGAGACGGAGTCAGCATGCAAACCAGGAAGTCGCTGCTTGAACTTACGAGGTTCTTGGAAGTGCCAGTACTCAGTAGAACTTCGGATCTTGTCAATACTTGTATCATACGGACAGCCGGGAGCGCTCGCTGGTGGCGATAACCTAAGGGCTTGATAGTGGGGACGCCATCTACGTGAATGGCGCACGAGTTCTTTAACGAACTGGGACAATAGCGGTACGCTAAGACTTACCCCATGTATGCACAGCTATTGTACAGAATGATCATCAGCAATCCGTTCTCTTCAACACAACAGGATCACGTATTCGCCCACCTCGAAATATATTATCACTCCCAATGAGTTCGTCAAGTAGATCGACGAAGTTAGTATTACCGGTACGTGGTTGGACTGTGTGAATGCGTGTCAGATGAGTGCCTAATGTTCCGCGCTGCATCACGGCGTACCAAATGTGAACACGCGTATGGCCGTTTCCGTGGCGTTGACCTTCAACAAAGTTCCGCCGATGGCGGCCAGGGCGCCACCCATCGAATGACCTGATGAACAGAGTTCTATCAAAACAAGCAGTTCACCAGCTGGCAGAACGGCGGAATTACCGGTTAGGACCACCGAATAGGATGGGTACTGTCGTAACTGCTCGACCATGGTATTGAGCACGAGGTCGCTCACAGAACCGAACGCGACGCCGAAACCTGCGTGCACTCGCGCATCGCCACTCCCCTTCATGGGTGGGCCGACCGAGTCGAGCGGTATAAGCAACATGTTCGGATCTACGGGCTCAGCTGTCAGAATCGACTAACTACGGATGGTCAAGCGCACAGGAAGGCGTTCACGTACCAGTGAACATGTCTGGAAGTTGCTGGCTCCGCAGAAGGCCACGATAACCTCTTGCCGTCCATCATCACGCGCCACAAAGCCGTGTACGCCCGTCAGAAGATTCGAGAACTAAGATACGAACGCGTCAGCATAAGGCATCGGCGCCACATGTTCGGCTTTGTCCCAAGTACAAGCTGGTTCCCGAGCGGATTCGGACATAGGGTTTGGTAGACCACAGATGAATACTGGGTATAGTGTACGAGCTCATCGTAGACATGTTGCGTAATCCCGCCGGTGGACTTCCATGGGAGATGCTAATGTGGTAGACGAGAACGAGGCAAAGGTAAAGGAGGAAAGCCAGGCCAGAGTGCCGTACTGAAGGAGACGGCGCAGACGAATTTGTTGAGAAGACTCGCTAGCATGCGTCCCTGGCCGAGGTATACGCTAGAAGCTAAGCGCAGTACATGGAGGTTGGAAGAGAGTTGTGAATGCAGCGCGTTGACGTCGCGCGTCTCAGGCGCGCGTACCAGCAGTACGTCAACAGGTCGTGTGATCGTTCACCGCGGAATAGGGGCACCTGGAGCTCGTCCCGGCGGCAAGACGTCTGCGTTTTGGAAGCTCGAATACAAGGCGAAGGTCCAAAACGGCGTTTTGATTTAGCAAAGAGCAGTATGGATGCGGTATAGAAGCAGGTAGTACGTAGACAGTGAGACTATTCTGGCGAAGACGAAGCAAGAGAAGTGGTATGTGTAAGTAGCGGACGGATGGTTCGGAGAGCTGAAACTGAAACTATACACGGTGGATGAGGCTGGGAAGCTGCACGGGGTTATCACATTCGAAGGGTGTACGTATCGTATCATAGAGAACGCATCATAATCTACGGGTGAACTGAGAACGCGAGAGCTAATCCGGTAGTGACGTTTAATCCGAGTCGGGCTCAGGCTTAGCCACAAGCTGCGCGCCGCGAACGTCAGCGGGCAGCAAGGTGCGATTCGAATCAGCACGCTGCGGCATTATCGGCTGCCCAGCCACGTCCAGCACGTTCTTGCTCTTGTGCCCGCGTTGTCCACGCCTCGAGATCGTTGGATACTCGCACGGCAGATTGCGCTTCGCGCACTGTCTGTGATTCAATAGTGAGCATACTTGTTCGGGCCCCGCAGATTCGAGAAAAGATGATGGCAAAGAGGGTTCGAGGACGCGTGTCACGATAACAAAGATCTCCGCTGATAGCGCAATCCGTACGGCGTACGTCCCGAAACAGTTACAGGCAGCGACAACTTCGCACTCGTATAAAGTGCGGGATCTCGAATCGCCAGTAAACGTCCCTCACCACCACATCCAAGCTCGCTCCGACGCAAACAGAATCAGTACTCACTCGCACGTCTTATCCTCGCTGCCTGGTACTGGATTGCACGATATCTTGCGTCCTCGACAAAAGAAACACGCGAGGAAACCTGGGTCCTTCCGGGGCCCCTTGTTCGGTCCGCGGGTCCGCTTCACCCGACGTGGTTGC